TATATTTTACTTTCCCTTTTCTCCTTTAGTAGGTTGATAATAAGTAAAATAAGCTGGCATTTGTTCTTTCTTATTATGATAATAACGATCACATTTCCTTACCTACTAACGCCAGTTGTATACAAGGCAACTGAGTTACTCTGCAATTATATATATCACTGTTGAGTTCAAAGGGACATATTCCCAGGGAGATATGTAAAGGGCTACAACTTTATACTTTAATCTAGAAACATTACACATTATTTGGGCATACGTCCCACTGAACTCAAGGTTTCTGAGTTGGCATGTCTTAGATTTAACTGTTAGGCTAACTATGAAAATGGGTTAAGATCAGTATGACATCTACACAAATGTATTTGAAACTAGAGAGTTGTACACATCTGGTAGTCTTTAAACTAAAGAAATGCTAATATCAATCATTCACGAAGCAAGCTCCTACTTCTGATGACTGTTCTAACACTGCTGTTTTGACTAAACTAAATTGCAATGAATGAATGTTCAGTGGGCAAAAAAAAACATCTCTCCCAGATTTCCAGCGCTGTCTCTGATTTACAAACACTTACAGTTCTTTTTTTAATGAAGGGACAAATCATATGTTTATCAGGCAATGCAATTAGATCTGTGCGAGTTTTGTGGCAAGATGGATAAAATGAATCACAAATATAATTAAAAAACATTTTACAATATTCCTGAAAAAGAAATAAATGTTAAATAGCATACCCTCATGTAATACTTTTGGGGCTTAAAAAAACCTACAAATATAATTTTAAAAAGTATTTTATAATATTCCTGAAAATAAAATAAAAATAGATTATGTAACACACACACCCATGTAATGTGATATGGGGCTAATTATTTCTGGGCAAAATTAAATAAAGATATACTGCAATCTTAACTAAAATTAGGTGTGCTAAATTCCTTTGAAATAAATTACACACCATTTACTTGGGAGGCTCCAAAACATTTTCAGCAGGATGACAACATAGTGAGTCATTTATGCTATAGAACACAGGTGGGCAAAGGGCAGCCCTTCATGTGTTATTGTTCTGCAACTTTCAGCACTTCTTACCATTGGCTGAAGAACTGAAATCTAACATCTGGAGGGTTGGCTAAGGCAATGTAGAAGTCCCATCTCTGATTTAAGACTGGGCTTCTGTGATTCCTGGTTATGTTAAAATGTGATCATTGATGTAAACATGGCGAGTGACTTGCTTAGAGTGCAGTGGTGCCTTGCAAGACAAATGCCTCGCAGGACAAAACACTCGCAAGACAAATAGTTTTGGCAATGGGGGGTGGTGGGGTTTGATGACTCGCAAGACAAATGTTCCTATGGCCGTGCTTCGCAAGAAGAATGTTTTCCGTTTTTTGTTCCTGCCTCATGTTTGCTGATTTTTAAATGCTTTTCTAAGATGTTTAAAAAGTTAGTTTTTTGATTGAATTTTTTTAAATTATCTCCACAATATGTATGGCTTTAAAGAGCACTTAAAAAACCCCTTTGTAAACCAAACTTGACTTTGTTCTGACTTTTTTTGCCCATAGGAACGCATTAATTAGATTTCAAATGCATTCCTATGGGGAAAAACGTTTCGCAAGACGAATTTTTCGCAAGACAACATTAACCGCGGAATGAATTAAATTTGTCTTGCAAGGCACCACTGTATATGAAGATAGTAAGTATGGGAAGGGATGAAGTGAGCTTGGAGCATTTAACGTTGGTGAGGACTGTCTGGGTTTTCTGAGCAAGAAAAGAGGGTCAGAGAAGTTTCCACTTCATGGAAAAGAGTGGGGAGATGTATAAGAATTAGATCAAGGTCAGGAATAAAACTATATTTTACTGAAATTGTTACTGCAAAAAAATGATTTACTTCAGACCAAGTGATGTGGCATGCTGATTTACCTGAGGATTGTAGTGGGACTGCGAGATGCCAGAACCAAAGTGGCAACATGTAGAGGCCACTAAGGGTTGGTGACAGCTAGTGAAGGTTTTGAAATTAAAGGAATATTAAAATATATGTTTATTCCTATGAGTTGTCGTCAAACTCAGGTTGAACAGTTGAAGTGGCAAGTTAGGGAAACTGCTTATACCCCCAAATAATTCAAAATTATGATTACAGAAGTTGTAACACTATAGAACGATAAGGACAATAATTTCATTTGAAAGATTCCCCTCTCTATCTTACAAGGGGCTGTGATTTCCAATAAATACCTTAGAAAAATTCAGTAACTGTTTGAGTTTACTTTTTCAAAGTGCACAGGATGATTTAGTGGCGTCTGTTCATTTTTGCACTGAATACCTCTGTAACCAGAATGTATGTGAGTCCGTGGTGGGGAATGTGCTCTTAAATATGACTGTAACTTATTGGAAAGGGCAGTTTTTTTCCAGCATGGAATATTGGTCAGATGGATAGATTAGGACTCAGAAGATCTGGGGTGAGCCATGGAAACACACTGGAGGGGCTGATGACACTGGGAAAAGTACTCCTTAAATATTTCACACACTTTGAACACTATATTATGGCATGGTGAGTCACTGGCTAGCTGTTGTTCCATAATAAACACATGTTTTAGGCAAATGTCTCCAGATTCAATTTCTGTCACCTCCCGGCTGGGAAAGACTCCTGTCTAAAACTCTGGAGAGCTTCTGTCAGCGTAAGAGTGCAATCAGACATTGAGAGATTTGTGCAGCCAACCACACGGGAAAGGGTGGTTTTACAGGGAGCCATCTTCCTCAAAGCTGACCTTCCATCTGTCAGCCCAGCCCCCCCCCCCAAATAGTAGCCTTATTGCTGGACTGAAAAGGTCCATCTTGGGCAGGATGTGGGGTTGGGCTAGTGCACCATTCCCCATATATTGTGCTATAGTCAACAAATAGAACATACTGGACTGCTTCACAAGCAGCCCAAGGTGCAATTTATTTTCCCCAAGTTATCCCAACCTAAATTGTTTCCAAAGAAGTAACCAGTCTCAGCATGTGGGCAAAAGTAAAGGTGGAAAACAAGATGAGAGAAATGCAAACTATTGTAAGCAATTTAGAGACTAACCTCTTTATTTTGGTATGAGACTTCATCCAGCAAAATTTATTTGATTGTACATATACAGTATTTTTCAATGTCTCTGATATTATGTGATTTTATAGAAATAATGTATTCTTATCTTCCTGGTTACTGACTGTAATAGTTGCCTTTGCCCCATAAAGAGATGGTTTTTAAATTCAGGAATGGGACCAGCTGATCCTAAACAGGGTGAAGACAGTGATCTCTCTCTTTCTACCTCCTAAGCATCATCTGGAAGCCTAGTCTATCATTTGCAGCCGATGCCTTAAAAAAGTGGATGTTGATCCATTAAAACTCACAGTGAAATAAATTGGCTACTCTTTAAGTGCTTCAATATTTTGCTAAAATTAGTTAATCAGCCGCCCAGAGTAGACTTTGGCCTAGATGGGCGGGATAAACAAACAAACAAACAAACAAATAAATAATTTGCACAAGCTATCAATTGTAACTGGCTTCTCCTGATGCAGCCAGCAGAGTACAAATCAACATGCCTACCTCTCTCTCTTTCTCTTTAATAGAACAAACTTTAAGCACGACGACTTACAGGCAGGAAGCAAACAGTGTCTTATGCACAATATGAATGTGCATCACAATATGAATGAATTGCTGTTGGCACCCTGAAACGGGGAGGAAAAGTGTCCGAAAAATGGGAAGGGCATTAAAGCTCTGCACTGTGTGACCCAACCAGGAACAAATTTTACCTTACCACCGTGTGAGGAACAGGAATACTATCTGAATACAGTATATAATTCAGAGTAAGTCTGATGGCCTGGACCAGTGTCTTCCACACACATCACCACTAAATTAAATACTGTAGTAATACAGTAATATTATGCCTGGGACGGTGGTTGAAGGAGAGGACTTCTGAAACCCGAAAGCCATTATTATATTGCACTCTTTTTTGTTACTTGGCTCTGTAACGGCGAAAGGACCCTGTTGCTAGAGTATGTGAATGGCACAAGAAAAGCGTGTGGCTTCGACCCCTTTGGGCGAGAGGACAGGTCGCCCGGCTGGCCAGGCTCCCGACAGGGGGACGAGGGCCGCCAGCCAGAGAGCATCCTCCAAAAGCCAGGCTCCTGGGCGGGCGCGGGCGCAGGCGCGAGCGCGCATGCCCCTCCTCTGCTCCTCTCCTGAGGCGTCGTCGTCGTCGTCGTCCTCCCTCCTTCCTCCCTCAGCATCAGCCGGGGCGGCCCGCCAAGCAGCCGGCAAGTGGAAGTTCTTCGCCCAAGCCGCTGGGCGTCCTGTTGGGAGTTTGCTTGCCTGCAGTTGGTGCGGGCTCCCAACCTACTACTGGGCGGCCGGAGAGGGAGGAGAGAAGAGGACGCGCGCTCTGGCTGGCCGGCGGGTGGACAGACCGAGGCAGAGAAGGGCTGGCGGAGCGAGGCGGCTCGGGTCGCTCTTCCTCCCTCACGGCTGACTGCGCGTCGGTCGGAGGTCTGGAGCCGAGGGGAGGGGGCGGCTGGGGCGGCGGCTCCCTCCGGCCTCCGCCTCCGCCGCCGCCGCCTGTGGCATCCCGTGCCCCGAGGACAGTTGTCGTTTTCTCTCACGGGTCCGCCTCCCTGGCCGTCCAGAGCGCTCCGCCTCGTCGGGCTGAGGCTCGCCGCCCGCTCTTTCTTCCCGGAGATGCTGCCGGGCTGAGAGACGCCTCAGGCAGCCCTCAGGTTTGGTCCGAGGGCGCAGCCCCTCTGGGAGGGCGCTGCTCCCCTCGCTCGCCCGCCCGCCCCGCGCAACCCGCCCCGGCCGGGCTCCTCCTCCCTTCCATCGTCCGCCTCGCCTCTCCTCGGATGGGGTTGCTCTCCGGGAGCCCTTCGGCGGGCGTGAGCGTCGCGGAGAGACCAAGGCACACCTGCCCATGGAGTCCCTGAGCAGGACCGCCGACCCATAGCCGGAGCGGAGCGTGAGCC